CAAGTGAGCGCATGCAATTCCTTGATTCACTATGATGGCAACATCTCCAGATGACGTAATGGCATCATCACGGTCCTTTCGGAAAGTAACGTATTTACGGAGAAAGTTGGTGTGTTTGGAATTTAGGTGTGTTTCTTGTACACACAGCCCTTTTGGTGAATGTTCGTGTAAAAGTTCTTGGACATTGTCAAGGTTCCTGAGAAGGCCCCTGATGTTCCATTGTATGATTTGAGCGTTCATGGTGAAAGTGAAGTACAGTCGAACCTCGTTAAAACGAATCCGGAAATATTCGCAAACTAGTTCGCTATAGCCCGAACTTGCTATACAAAACTGCATCGAAAAATCGCCAAGCCCTGGTGTGAATAGGCCGGCAGAATGACAGGAATCGACAAGACACTTACTTGAACAAAAATACATTTATTGAGGTGGAAAGAACCTGTGCAACATATCTTGGTTTTTTTTTTTTTTTTTTGATGACGTGCCGTATAATGCCTTGCTCTGCCATGCCGAGGCATTCGACAAACTTGAGCCCGGTGCCTTCCATCATGCTGCAATAGCGCCGCGCCAGAGCCGAACCAGCCAAAGCTTCGCAAGAAGTTGGCAGCGGAATGTTTTCGGAGACAGCATCTTCAACTTCCGCTGCTTTAATCTCGGTTCGCTGGCCTGTCACCTCGGCAGAATTACCACGTCAGTCAGTTAGCAACCGCTTCTGACGCGTCGTCGTCGCCAACGAAGTCGCCCAGTGTGAGCGTGTCCGGCGCATCGCTCACAAACCGTGAAAAATCGCTCCACATTTCATCGAGCTCGACAACCTCTTCAGAGCCTTCAACATTTTCGCTGTGCCTCAGCTGCCTCAGTGCCAACGGTAAAGCCAGCGTGCCGAAAGCAGTTCGCGGCAGTCTCTTTCTTCACGCTCTCCCAAGCGGCCTTCAACATCTGTATGGCACCCAACAAGTCAATTTTCAGGTCTTCGTTCCTTCGAAGACGAATGAGCAGCCGCTCGATAAGCCTTTGTTGTAAATTGCTTTTAAGGCGCGAATGATCCCTTAGTCTAAAGACTGGAGCTTGGAAGTGGTGTTGGGCGGAAGAAACTTGAGCTCAATATTGCTCAATGAAACATTTGCGGAGTGTGCCGAGCAGTTGTCGACGAAGAGACACACTTTTCTGCCTTCATCTCCAAGCTGCGTATCCCACTCCCTCAACCATTTCCCAAACAACTCTCATGTCATCCATGACTTCCGATTGGAAGCATAGGTGACTGGTAGGTCGCGGCAGCGTCTCATACGGTTCGGCGTCTTAAACTTGCCGATCACAAATGGACGAAGTTTTGCCGAACCATCCGTGTTCGCAGCAAGTACGACCGTGATCCGGGCCTTGTTTTGCTTGCCACTATGACATTTCTGCCCGTGGGTGTCCAGAGTTTGGCGCTGCAGCATCTGCCAGAAGAGGCCAGTTTCGTCCGCATCAAAAATATCTTTTGGATGATATCTGGCACGAATTTGAGGCCATTCTTCTTTCAGCCACTTGTCCATTGCTGCGGCGTTCGCTGATTCGCTTTCGCCCATGACAGCTTTTCCGACGATGTCGTACCAGTTCTTAAATCATTGCAGCCACCCTGCACTGACACTAAAATCTTTGGCATCGAGTATGAAAGCGATGTCTCTTGCCTTTTGCTGCAGCATTGGCCACTACACAGGAATATTCCTAGCCCGTACGTCGAAGAACCATTTATGAAGACATTCTTCAACACGTTCGAAGGCAGGGGGTCGAATACGCCGTGCGTTGGCATGTTTTCCGCCGTCTTGCTGAACAATTTTCTTTTTCTGCTTCAGCACCGTGCTTAATGTGCTGCGAGGTATTTTGAGAGCATCAGCAGCAACTCACTTCTTTTCACCTCTGTCGACACGCCGAAGAATTTCCAGTTTCGTCGCATACATCAAGGCAGTCCCTTTCTTCCCGCTTTGCGCCATGCTGACGGTGTACCACACCCCCGAGCACCACAAAAACGTGCAAACGAAGAAAACACCACACACACTCAACAAGGCAACTGCTAGCCCGGAATGGCGGTGTGCAAACTGACGCGTCCCCGCCATCGATCGTCAAGACCACTCCATTCTACCGGCGCGACAAGTGCATGCGATTTTAGTAAGTGGCCATATCCGATCTCGCCGATCTCGGACACCATAAAAAAAATCATGGTTGGCCGTCTACGCTGCTGGACCGCGTAAGGCGCATCAAATGTAAATGCGGGTTCGCCTGATTGTTGCTGTGCTGCGGAGAAGCCGAATGCTCACTCCAGAAGCGGTCCGGGAAATTCAGTATATCCATTGCGAGCTCGAGTTCGTTCGCTATAAAAATGCCAAAATACATGTAATTTTTTATACCTTCTGTTGGTAGTTCGACATTGCCAATAATTCGTTATATCCATGTTCATTATATCGAGGTTCGTCTGTAGTGCTGTGTGTATGAAAGGCGAGTGGCTGTTTAGGCACGAAGTTTCGATTCAAGTAACAGGGCCGTCACCAGGCTCTGTTTTCTGCTTTTTTTGTTCTCTTGGCGCACTCCAACGAGCCACGCGGCTCTTTCGGCACAAAGGTTATCGACGTATCCATCGCCTCCTTGGAGGTCCTGGATGCCCGCACTTGCGAGCTGGTAGTTCAAATTCTGGGCCTCGCCTAGTGAGGCGAGGCCTTGAGACCTGAGGACCCTGGAGTCTCTGGCATCTGTTCACGAGTAGGCCGAGTAGTATGGACTAAAGACGCCTTGGGGGCAAGTACCACAACCACCGGCTTCGTATGCGCGAGCCGAAGGATTGACAAGGGCTCGTACGGCGATGCACCCTGACGCGCCGCATCAGCATATGTTGAGCCATAGAATGGCGAAATTCTTTCTCTTGCTTCTTCAAAAGAAATGTTTTCTTTCATTTTCAGCCTTATTATCTCCTTTTCTTTCTTCCAGTATGGACAGAAGCGCTAATATGCGGCATGGTTTCCTTCACAGTTCACGCAGTGCGGCTGCTCTTTGCACTTATCAAACGCGTGGCCCAGGACTACACATTGTGCACAAGTCTGGCCAACACGACAGCTTTTAGAGCCATGGCCATACCTCCTACATTAGAAACAACGACGGGAGTTTGGTATGTATGGCCCGAGAGAGGTCTTCGGGTACCCTGTTTGAATGGTTTCTGACAATTTACTGGAAGCAAACGTGAGTATTAAGTGTTTCGTTGGTGTTTCTTTGCTGTCTCTTCTCTTGGTGATTCTCTGTACATTGGTCACATTTGGGCTCTTCCACCCCTCCAAAAGTTGTCTCGGTCAGGTTAAGTAAGTCTGTGTCAATATTACCACTCCACGAGTTGTGTACATTGATCTGTCTGGTGTTACGGTGATCAATACACCACCGAACGTTGAGAGAGCGTCTAGCTTTTCAAATTGTTCTTTCTCCCGAACTTCGAGGAGGAGGTTTCGGCTAGTCATTTTGATTACCTTGTATTTAGCTGCGAGAGTTTCAGTAAGACACCTGGCAACTATGAAGCGAGATACCGTCCTGGCTTGCTTTCCACTTTCCTCAGAGTGAATAAAGTGAAAGTGAGAAAATGTTTTTATTGGCTGGTTGAAAAACTTTGTCATCGTGCGTACCCGCTTCAAGCAGGTACGATCGGTAAGTAAGGGAAATGCTCTATGCGTGCCGGTCTTATTTTTATTCAGCAGCGTTGCCGACCACCCACCATGGAGCCCAACGAGGGGACGCTACAAGTTTGTGAATACTAAACACTTGCAGACGACAGTCATATATGCCACCATAACCCAATACGCCTAGACCAAGGTTGGCTATTTGTACAGGGTTAACTCTCGCCGCCAGAAAAATTGGACGTAAAAAGAAGAAACAAGAAGACAGGAAATATAAAAAGTGATGGCAGCGACGAAGATGTAGAGAGAGAGAAAGAGCGAGAGAGAGCGCTAGGAAAAGGCGACGGCCGATTTCCCCTGGGTGGGTCAGTCCAGGGGTGCCGTCTACATGAAGCCGGTGCCAAAGGGGTGTGTTGGCTCTGCCGGGGGGCCTTAAAGGTCTAATCACCCGGCGACCGCTCAAGCCCCAGGATCCCCTTTTCTCCAGACACAGCAAAGCCACGCACGGCAAGGCGTGGGGGGGAGGGGGGAGAGTCGGAACCCTCTCTGTTAGCTCGGGTCCGTGGTGTCGCTACACACCAAACGCCTACTTGCGCAGACGTCCCTGCGGGGGGAACTGCAGGGTCATTTGGGGCTTTTAGGAAGTGCTGCCAATCACAAGTGTTTTTCTAGGAGGCATAGCTACTTTGACTGCCCGGCGCGCTGCAGGTCGGCATGTTTACTATGTTAAACTCCCAATACACCCAAGCCTGCTCGATCGTCGTGTCACATGTGATATACAATTTGCGATGACCAAAATCTAACCTTCAAGCTCTCTCCTGCCACAGTGGTCCGAGAAAGCGAACAAAAAAAAAATCAACGCTGCCGCAGGAAGTGGCAGGTAGCTAAACCTCAACGCTACGCCAGTGCCACCCTCGGAGCGGATACGAGTTGGTGCCGCCTCTGGAGCGGCTTTTTTAGCAGACAGTATCTAAAGACGTTGATTTGTGTGTGCCATATTTTTACCGCGACCGTGTCAAAAGTGCTCGCTGGAAGACTAGGAGGCTTTGAAGAATGTTCACTAAACATGGATGTAGTTTCAATGTATAGGTGCACCGAATTATGGTCATTATATCCGATATATCTTGCATCGCTGCGCAAAATGTACACCTATTCGGTCACTTAAAATACTGTAATATTCCTTTGATCACTCTAAGAGCTTAAATATTTGCAAAAGCCTAATACATAAGCAAGAAGCAGAACCAATGCCCTTTTCAGGCTTACAATTTTAATTAACCAGATTGATGTTACTCGAACAATATAAATATCCAAACTCGAGATTGGCAGACAAAACTGAATCAAGTTTGTCAAGACGTGCTTCTATCTACTTACCTGGTCCAGAAGGAAGTGAGCGTTTCCGTCCCGGCGGATCTTCATGTCCGGTATGGGCTTTCCATGTGCACGGCATTCAAGTTTCACCTCTTCTCCAACAGACACTGTCGCATTCTGGAATTCCGTAATTCTAGGCTTCACTGGAATTGAACAGAAATGGTACAAGTTGTTATGTCGTGCAGATTCACACTACTCGGAGGCAGAATAAAACATTGTGGGGCCAATCAAAAGCATTTGCTTGCCAAGTTGCTCCCTTTAGCGCACATGTTTCATGTGGATAGTAATGAGTGCTCTTCCATTCAAGATTTTCTGTTCGAGTATGATCTACCAAAATCCTACAGCTCGCAACCCGCATGTTTTAATTTAATCCCATCCATAGAAATCTCTACCATAGCCAAAACTCAGGCTTGTGCAAAGAGTAAACTTTAAGTTCAAAGAACAGTGATTCAGTCAAATAATTTGAAATCGGATTTATATATATATATATATATATATATATATATAAAATTTCATATTAAATTTCGCATATAAAATTTCGTACATATAAAATTTCCTATAAATTTCGCTTTTACTTGCAAAATTTGCACCATCGCATAATTTGCGTGCCCCCAAAATTTTGCCAGTGTTCTTAAAAAAATATTTACTCGCAAATTTTGTGCTCCCTGACCTGCCTGAGCCAGGTCACCGGCGCATGCATTAAGAGTATGGATTTTCCAATGCTTCCGGCAGGCCGGCGCCTCGTCGAAACCATGAAAATGCATGCTCGTGTTAAGGCATGGGCAACTTTCTGCGTCGAGGACGTGCGAGGGACTGATGCGTCAACTGTTCATTGCGTTTGCGCAGCAACACACGCTTGGTCAATTTCGGAAGTTTAGGTTCCACCATCTGACTGATGCATTTTTATGGATCCCATGCGATGTACTATAGTAATTATATATGCAGCGAAAATAAAGTTGACAGTTGTAAATTTTGGCAAAAGAAAACGGGAGCCATGTTACCGCAAAGCACTTCAAGGTGACTTACTTCAACGTGTGACAATCGGCGCGAACGGTAATCAAGAAAGCAGAAGAGTGCGCACTTGCAAATGCAAGTTTCCCTCTATTGAAGAAGGCCTTTTCAATTATGCACGGATGCTCAGATAATTCGGCATCGCCGTGTCACAATACCTAGTTTCCCCCAGCATTGTCGCGAAGAACTTCCAAGAAAATGGGGCATTCGAACGGGCTCAACGGAACCGAGGACGATGCGCTTTGGGAAGCCGGTGACAGCGACAGCGACAACAACTCCCAATCAGATGTTGCGATCATATTCCCACTAGATGGCGCGTGGCCACATCCAATTGATTGCAGTATGTGCTAATTCTGTTAAATAAACAAGTACACTTCGCTTTGGGAAGGCGGTGACAGCGGCAACAACTACCAATCAGATGTTGCGATCATATTCCCACTAGATGACGCGTGGCCACATCCAACTAGTTAAAGTATGTGCTAATTCTGTGAAATAAACAAGTACACTTCATTCAAACTTCAATTTATTTTCTTTTTTTCTTTACCATATATACTGCACACATTAAGACTGTGACACAGTATTTCGTTTGTACCCGCGAAATCCTTGCATAATTTGCCCAACCCCTTCTTGGAACCCCAAAATCCTTAGAAAAAGTGAGCAAAATATGCGAATAAATACAGTACATTACCTTTTCAAACATCCTATGCTTAAAAGCATATCAACCAGTATATCAAGCTTTTAAATCTTAAGAATCGTGAATAGATGCGAGTTCATTTATCTTGAGGTGGGGCTTTACGGCAGCACAGATTTTCCCTGGATAGATGCATTTAGTCACTGTGTGTCTAGCTAATTGCATAGACCAAATTCCCTGACTTTTCCAGGTTTTCACTGATCATTACAGTTAAAATTCCCTCACCAATGTAACGAACACTATCTTGTGAAAATTGGCCATAAATCAACCAAAAAACTAAGAGCAGAGAACAACACAGAGGATACTTATTGCAGTTGCCCTTATTCTGCACATGCACTTGAACTATTAAGCTTTGAAAGCGCTCCTTTCTTTTTTGAATAGAAACCTCACATTGCGCGTCTAGGGAACCAGGGGTGAAAGTGGTTGTCAGTGTTTTGGAGCAGCTCGGGGAGCAGGACTAATGCTGTTTTAGAGCAGCTATGGCCCAGTAAAAGGAAAGTTTTAAAGAAAGTTTGGAGCACCAAAAGGTGTGTTTTGGAGCAACGTGCATTATTTTAAGAGCAACTTTCTTGCGTCAAACACCATTATCAAAGTTATTTCTGGTTAAAAAAACTCCAATGATTTGCACTAAACATTTAGTACGCTTACTAGACTCACCACCCACAAAGGTGTGTGGGTGTGTGTCTGTGATACAAAAATGCTCATTTATTACTCGGACTGAAACGAAAAGAAAAAAATATTGTCACGGGCTAAGTAGATGCCAGAGGATGACGACGACGAAGTGCTGTGGGGAACGTGCTCGGACTGCAGCAGCGTTGTACGCATTAGCTCGCCAGTATATTCATTGTGTTTACTTTATTCCCCATAACATCAATGGTGGAGGTGCTGGGTACAACTCGCTATACAGCCCCACGAGCTGGATCTTCGCAGCGGACGGCACATTGCAGCTACCACGATGACTGACCAGGCTACTCAATGTCAACAAGATCCATCAGCTCCGCAACCGTTCGTTGTGGTGCAACCTCGTGACCCAGGCCCATTCAACGGCACAAGTGGCATAGACGTCGATGACTGGCTGGTTCTATATGAGCGCGTCAGCAGCAGCAACCATTGGGATCAGACGCTTATGTTGGCGAACATCATCTTCTACTTGCATGGCACGGCAAAACTCTGGTACGAGACACGTCAAGAAGAGTTGACCAGCTGGGACGTCTGTAAGCAGAAATTGCGCTATCTATTTGGGAAACCCATCGGACGTCAAGTGGCCGCAAAGAAAGAGCTTGCGACTCGTGCCCAGACATCCACAGAGCCCTACATCGCGTACATCCAGGACGTGTTGGCTTTGTGCCGTCAAGGACAAGGACAAGGTCGACAAGGACATGCTCGACGAGGACAAAGTTGGACACATCCTGAAAGGAATTGCCGATGACGCCTTCAATGTTCTGCTGTGCAAGGACTGCTCGACGGTGGAGTCGGTCATCGAAGCATGTCGTCGCTTCGAACAGGCGAGAAGTAGGCGCATAGTTCACCGATTTGACAGCCTTCCCAACATGGCGGCTACGTCCTCTTGCGAAGATTTGCCCACACTACATCAACCACCAGCGCCGGAAAACGTCACCAGAATAATCCGTCGGGAACTCGAGGCTATGGCACCCGCTATGTCTAGCGTCACCGTGCCAGGACACAACCTCGATGCTGTTTCAATGATACAGGCCGTGGTTCGCCAAGAGATCGCGAATATGGGCATTTCGCCACCTCATCAAAATGCCCCTGCTACTTCCAGCTCGGGTCCAGTCATTGCGGCTGCCACTCCGAACCGCACGTTCGCGCCAAGACGAAACCCAGCTGAATGGCGCACTCATGATGATCGGCCCATATGTTTCATGTGCCATCGGATAGGACACATCGCTCGCCATTGCCGCAGCCATTGGACCTCATCACCTCGACCGAGCTTCTATGATTGGGGACCTCGCTCCGAACGTGCACCCTATGCCCCGTCCTGCCGTGCAGAGACAGGTGCAGAGCATAATTCAGAACGTCGGACCAGCCGCTCGCCATCGCCCGTGCGTGGTCAGTGCCGCTCGCCCTAACCCCGCCGTCCTCGGTCTCTCTACGACCGTCGCTCGGAAAACTAGCCGGTGCAGCCCCCGGAGGTGACGCTGCATACACGACTCGGGCTGCAAATCCTCTGATTACTCCCGACCAGCGGTGCAACCTTCTTACAATTCTCGTTGATGGTTTACCTGTAACTGCTCTTATTAATACCGGTGCGCAACTATCTGTGATAAGCTCAGACCTCCGCCGCCGCCTCCAAAAAGTTCCGACGCCTGCGATTGCACCTACCGTTCGTACAGCGGATGGGAGTACTCCTGCGGTCCTTGGAATGTGCACTGCGCAAATAACGATTTCTGAGCATCAAACTTCAGTTTTGTTTGCTGTACTGGAAAACTGCCCTCATGACCTCATCCTTGGACTCGACTTTCTGACTTCACACGCTGCGCTCATTGACTGTTCCAAAGGTCTTCTTCGGCTCGAACTACCATCCTTCTCAGAGACCGTCTCTACCAGCCCACCTCGTCTACGCTCTGTCGATTTCCTCAGACTTCAGCCGCAAGCCGCAGTCCAAGTCCAACTCTCGCCATATCCTCCAGTACCCGATGATGATTATGTTGCTCCCCAATTTCTGACGTGGCCATGACACGTAATGTTGCACTCCCCAACACGGTGGTTACCGTTAAGGACAACCGAACTTTATTTCCCGTCCTCAATTTTGGCTTCTCAGCGCAAATTATTCCTCGCGGCATGTCACTTGCGTATCTGACACCAGTAGTCGACCACACTGTTTCCGCCCTAACCACCGATCCGCCACCCGATTTTTCATCAACGTCGCTCTTGTCACGTTCCTGTTCCGACCTTTTCAAGCCAATACTATCTGACAAGCTCACCTCTAAACAAGTCTCTGCTCTCTGCCGTGTGCTTGCTTCTTATCGGGAGATCTTTGACTTCGGCGACCGTAGTTTGGGCCAGACATCCATGGTAACCCATCGCATCGACACCGGTGACGCTCGGCCCATTCGCCGACGGCCCTACCGTGTGTCAGCCCCGGAGCGTGCTATTATACAGCGAGAAGTTGATAAAATTCTTCATAAGGGCAAAATCGAACCCTCATCTAGTCACTGGTCCTCACCCGTTGTACTTGTTAAAAAGAAGGACAATAGCTGGAGATTCTGTGTTGATTACCGCCATCTCAACCATATTACCAAGAAAGATGTCTATCCCCTACCGCGCATAGATGATGCACTCGATTGCTTACACGGTGCCAAATATTTCTCTTCAATAGACCTTCGCTCAGGCTACTGGCAGATCACTGTGGACGACAAAGACAGAGAGAAGACGGCCTTCGTGACGCCTGATGGACTTTATCAGTTCAAGATGATGCCT